ACGCCCCTGCGGGACCCGCGCGGCGTTGCCCTGCTCGTCGCGACGCCCCTGCGGGACCCGCGGGGCGCTGTCCCTGCTCGTCGCGGCGCACCCCCCCCTGGCCGCCGCCTTTGCCTCCCCTGCGCCTGCTTTGCAGCAACGCGCGGGCCTGCCCTGCACCAGCGACGCCGCCCCTGGAGCAGCCGCCCCTGCAGCAGCCGCCCCTGGCCACTGTAGCAGCCGCCCCTGGCCCCTGGAGCAGCCGCACCTGCAGCCGCCCCTGGCCCCTGGAGCAGCCGCCCCTGCAGCAGCCACCCCTGGCCACTGGAGCAACCGCCCCTGCAGCAGCCGCCCTTGGCCCCTGGAGCAGCCGCCCCTAGCCCCTGGAGCAGCCGCCCCTGCAGCAGCCACCCCTGGCCCCTTGAGCAGCCGCCCTTGCAGCAGCCGACCCTGCAGCTGCCCGCGACGCCGCTCCTGGACCCTGTGCAGCCGTGGGGGGAGGGTATGGGGGTGGCGGGTGTGGGGGTGATGAGTGTGGGTGCCACCCTTGCCCTCCTCCTCCTCCTACTTCGTCTCCCACTACTGCAGCTGCCGCTGAAGGGGGGTGGATGTGTGGGAGCCGAGGGGGAGTGAAACTAGGGGTGCAGCAAGGGGTGCGGCAAGGGGTGCGGCAAGGGGTGTGAAAGGGGTGTGGGACAGGTAGGGGAGGTTGAGTGGAGGTGGCCGCCGTGAAGTCAGCAGCTCCAGTCGCCCGTGAGACCGTTGCGCCAGTCGCCCGTGGGCCCGTCGCTCCAGTCGCCCGTGAGCCCGTTGCTCCAGTCGCCCGTGAGTCAGTTACTCATGCCACTCGTCTAGCCGCGGAGACTGTTACTCCAGCTGCCCATGTGCCAGTTGCTCCAGTTGCCAGTGTGCCAGTTGCTCCAGTTGCTCGTGTGCCAGTTGCTCCAGTTGCGCCGTGTGCCAGCAGCTTCAGCTGCCGCCCACCACCTCCTCTCCTCTCATAGTCCCTCCTTCTCCTCACTTGCCCTCTCCGTCTGCTGCGCTCTACTTGGTGTACCCCTTCCGGGGGTGTTTCTGCACATGGTTCTTCACTGCAGGCAGTTAGGGGGTGTGTTAGAATGTAATTGTATACATTACTTTATAACTGCCTGCAATGTAGACTTAGTGTAGTTATCTTTCTTGTTAGGTGGTGCACCTTGCTTCACTTCTTTCATATTTGTACCCTTGAGCCTATAGTGAAACCATCCTTTTCTCCTTGCAACTCTCTCGACATTCCCCTTTGACCCTAAAATTCAACTACTAAGCCACTAAAGCTATGGCTCCTAAGCGTAGCTGTACTTAGTATCTTGACAGTAACTTGCACGGCCGACCAGGTTTCGCTGGGGACGGCACTAGCTCGCCGAACGTTTTCGGACTGAGGTGGCGGAGGAGCTCGTCATGGACGGCAAACTTGGAAACTCCAAACTCCTGAGCGATTTGGCGGTAACTACGCCCCTCCGTAATTCGCTGCATGATGCGCTTCTGTTTCTCCTCGCTAAGGCGCTTCATGCTGCGGGGGTGTTAGCACTACTCGTAGATCGTAGTATCCGCCCATAATCTCCCATGTACATGTCACAATAGCGGTTAGAACGCAAAAGCCATAGCTAGCAAGCTAGGCGAGAGAGAATAAGCAAAGGAGGAGTTTGCACTAGCAGTAGTTGAGATACATATAAGAAACCTTAATTGGGTTGTACTCGTTATAGAGTACCCCACTGCAGGCTAGACAAGCATGATATTTAGACACACCCCCATAGTCAAAGTGGGGTATAATCAGCACAGCAAGCAATCATAGAGCAGGTTCACAAGAACAAGCAAAGCTAGAGGCTATCACAGAGGGCAAATGAGGAGGAGGAGGGACTATGAGAGGAGAGGACGTGGTGGGCGGCAGCTGAAGCTGCTGGCACACGGCGCAACTGGAGCAACTGGCACACGGGCAACTGGAGCAGCTAGCACACTGGCAACTGGAGCAACTGGCACACGGGCAACTGGAGCAACTGGCTCCGCGGCTAGACGAGCGGCATGAGTAACTGACTCACGGGCGACTGGAGCAACGGGCTCACGGGCAGCTGCAGCAGTGGGAGACGGAGTAGGAGGAGGAGCAGGGGACGGCTCACACACCCGTCACCCCCATACTCGCCACCCTTAAACCCTAACACGGGCAGCACCGGGCAGGAGAGCGTGCAGCAGCGGGGGCCGTGCTCGTGGTGAAGCGGGACGGCTGGGGCAGGCTATACGGGCCGCGCACGGGCCTGGCGCGGGCCGTACGAACCGCGCGCGGGCTGTATGGGCCGCGCGCGGGCCTGGCGCAACCCGTACGAGCCGCGCGCAGGCCTGGCGCAGGCCGTACGGGCCGCGCGCGGGCCTGGCGCAGCCCGTACGAGCCGCGCGCGGGCTTGGCGCAGGCCGTACGGGCCGCGCGCGGGCCTAGCGCAGGTCGCGCGGGCCGCTTCGGGCGACGGAGGGTGACGCGCGGGTCCTCGGGGGTGACGCGACGGACGACGGGGGGCCCACAGGCCAAGAGTGTAACAGCTCTGTTACCATGTCACAATAGCGGTTAGAACGCAGGAGCCATAGCTAGCAAGCTAGGGAAGAGAGAGTAAGCAAAGGAGGAGTTTGCACTAGCAGCAGTTGAGATATATATAGGAAACCCTAAGGGGTCGTACTCACTACAGAGTACCCCACTGTAGGCTAGACAAGCATTATAATCTGACACACCCCCATAGTCAAAGTGGGGTATAATCAGCACAGCAAGCAGGCATAGAACAGGTTCACAAGGACAAACAAAGCTAGAGGCATTCACAAAGGGCAAGTGAGGAGGAGGAGGCGGGACTGTAAGAGGAGAGGAGATAGGAGGCGACGGCTGAAGCTGCCGACACATGGGCAACAGGAGCGACACTGGCACAGTGGCTACCGGGACAGCGCCCCGGACTACTGGAGTAACTGGCTCTGCGGCTAACTTTGAGCGGCGGGAGCAACGGACCCACGGGCAACAGGCGCAGCAGGCTACTACAAGGCTACCGGAGCAGCGCCCCGGACTACTGGTGCTACTGACGACACGACGACAGCCTCCGTTCAACCTCCCCCAACTGTCCCACACCCCTCTGATACACCCTTTGCTGCACCCCTAGCTCCACTCCCACGTCACCCCCCTAGCACCACTCCTTCGGCTCCCACACACCCACCCCCCTCAACGGCAGTTGCAGCAGTGGGAGACGAGGGAGGAGGAGCAAGGGGAGGAACTCACAACCGCCACCCCCACACCCGCCACCCCCAAACCCTAACGCAGGAGGCACGGGGAGGGAGATGAAGCGAGGCGGCGCGCGACCCCCAGGGCGCCACGACGGGCGACGGGATGGGGGGGACGCGCGGCCCCCGTGGCGCCACGACAGGCAACAGGATGGGGGGGACGCGCGGCCCCCATGGCGCCACAACGGGCGACGGGATGGGGGGGACGCGCGGCCCCCGGGGCGCCTCCACGAGCGACGGGATCAGGGGGACGCGCGGCCCCCGTGACGCCACGACGAGCGACGGGAGAGGGGGGGACGCGCGGCCCCTGGGGCGTCTCGACGGGCGATGGGATGGCGGGGACACGCGGCCCCCGTGACGCCACGACGGGCGACGGGAGAGGGCGCCACGACGGGCGACGAAACCGCCGCGCGCGCCCGGGGCGCACGGCGGGCAGAAAACCGCCGCGCTCCACGAGCGCGCGGCGTGATGAAAAAGTGTCGCGCGCCCGGGGCGCGCGACCAGCAGAATAGTAGTAGCGGAAGCATAAGGCGGGCCGACAGGCCAAGAGCGTAACCGCTCTGATTCCATGTCAGAAATAGTAGCTAGAACGCAGGAGCCATAGCTAGCAAGCTAGGCAAGAGAGAATAAGCAAAGGATGAGTTTGCAATAGCAGCAGTTGAGATACATATAGGAAACCCGAATTGGGTTGTACTCGATATAGAGTACCCCACTGCAGACTAGACAAGCATGATATTATGACAGTACCTAATTAGTCTGGATCTAACACCGCACGAAATAAGGCGCGGGACATTTCGGAAAGATTTGTCCGTGTGGTGTGTCGAGAGGGAAGAGCTGACTCGTTAGAGCAAGAGGTTTTTTTGGGCCTATAGGTCGCCTACACAAACTCGTAACAGTCAATCGCGAATCCTGTATGCAATATGTTTATTACAAAACTTGTTTAGGGTACAATCGGGTGCAAGTTATCGTAAATTTCGAATGCATAAGGACAATAATTTCGTTTAATGTATACTCAGCTTACTGATAACTTCTAGAATTTTTATTTCTGTAATTTCTGACTAATCCAAATACGGTACCTCAAGCAACCTCTCCTCCACATTTATTAGCATGTGTATAAATAGTGAATAATAGTACCGCGAAGTCTATTTGAATCTAAATCATGGGTGTAGCTAAGTGCTAGAAAGATCTTTGGACTCTGAAGCCTCAGAATTGCCCAGTCCGTTGGGCGCGGAGTTTCCACCGTGCCCGCGACGTGATGATCTCGGGGGGTTCTTCGAAGCAGTCTTTGCCCCTCCTACCCACACCCCCGAGATTCTCGCCCTCGCGTCCTTGTATGGCGGAGGACTCCCCCCTCCCCTCCCCTCCCAAGTTTGTTGGGGGCGGGCTTGCAGAATCATCTGATACTCCGCTGAAAGGATTCCCTTCATCGCCACACACCGCGCAATTCCGCGCACTTCCGCGCACTTCCGCTTTTGCTGCTACCCGCGCGCTCTGGCCTTGTCACGTCCAGGCGCCAGTCAGTGCCCCTCCCTCCCACCCAACCCAACCTGCAGGCCCACCTTTGCCCCTTGTGCTCCTGTTGCCAGCCTGCCAGCGTTCCCAGCAATTAGGTTTCTAATCATCTGCTTCAACCCGCAGCAGGACGACGGTAGTTTCTTTTCTTCAGGTAACACAGTCGACGTGGATAGGATCGTGACCCTGGCTTGCGGTGGTGGTGGAAGATTAAGTAGTAATCCATGGGTCCACGCTCAGATATGCTGAAGACGTCGAGTGTGGGGAGCTTGCACGATGACGATAGCGACGAGGAGAGTCGAGTTGTGGAGGAAGATCCATCAGGCAGATACTGTCGAGTACGTGAACTTATCTTATTGAATTCGTATACTTTCTGAATTTCTGATGTTTACGAGGCTTCGTCCTGTGGCTGTGCTTATCGGCTGGCTGCGTAACACCAAACTTTCTTTCTTGCGGTGGATCTTTAGACTAGCCAATCGCTGCAAGTAGGCCACTTCATGTCACTTCGATGCTGGTCGCGTGCGATTTGTCACAAGATAAAGAAGCATTTTCACGGAGTGGCATTCGAAGCAGTTTTGATATCCGCGGTTATGTTCCATCTGTTATGTTCGTCTTTTGCATATCGCTTTCTGTTTTTACATTCCGATGCTCGTTTTTCTCAAATTGTCGTATTGTGACATCGTTCGCTTTACCTCTCATACTCCCTCCGTCCCGCTACTACGGTTCCGCCAGCCAACGTTGCGTTCAGCGATTGGTTTTTTCTCCTCACCGTTTGTTTCCCCCGTGTCGCCCATCTCCTCCCTTTCCAACTGTGCGCTGCTCGTGCAGTTCAGGGCTGTTCTGGGAAAAGGCGCCTTCAAGACAGTGTAAGCGGCTCTCCTGCTCCTCCTTCCCACATAGCACTTCGTAGCATGTCTGTCTGTGCGTTCGTCTGTCCTTCCGTCCGTCCTTCCGCCTGTCTTTTGTCTGCCGCGCCCGCTAATCCCTCACTCGCCTGGCACTTCGTCCCCGCGTTACTTCACTTAACGAAGCTGCTAATCCCTCACTCGCCTGGCACTTCGTCCCCGCGTTACTTCACTTAACGAAGCTGCTAAGTCCATAACTTGTTTCGTCATCCTTTTATTGCATTGGCGTTATTGACTCTTTTTCGTGTTGCAGATACAAGGCGTTCGACAAAGCGGAGGGCATCGAGGTGGCATGGAACCAGGTGCAGGTGCGCGACGTGTTCCAGTCGCATGACGAGCTCGAACGCCTCTACTCCGAGGTGCATCTGCTCAAGACCCTTCGACATAAGAACATTATCAAGTTTTATGACTCGTGGGTGGACGCCCGCAACAAGAACGTCAATTTCATCACGGAGGTCTTCTCGTCCGGCACGCTCAGACAGTACGCGCTTTCCCATTTAAACTCTCTCGCTCTTTCCATCTCTCCATCCCCCTCCCTCCCCTTCCCTCCCTCGCCGCTCCGTCGATATCTGCATCCTTCTATCTCTCCATTCCGCCTGCTTTTTCGTGTTTCGGTCGCGTGCTAAGCGTCGGTCCTCTGCCTCTTGAAGAATGTCTGTTGCTTGAAGGTGATTGACGGCACGATTCGTCGTCATGAGCATTGTGCAGTTCACGTTTTGCACCTCTCGCTACTCACCCTTGACCGCCCCTCCCTTCCCTCCCACCCCCGCGCTCCACTCCCGCGGCTTCCCCCACCCGCTGGCGCCCTCTCCCCCCCCCCCTTCCGCCCCTCCCCCCATCTTCCGCACGCGCCTCCCCTCCCCACCTCCTTCCCGCGCGCGCGTGTCCGCTCGTGGGGCGGCAGGTTCCGGCAGCGGCACCGGCAGTGCGACCTGCGCGCGATCAAGAACTGGTCGCGGCAGGTGCTGCGCGGGCTGTTCTACCTGCACTCGCACGACCCGCCCATCATCCACCGCGACCTCAAGTGCGACAACATCTTCATCAACGGTAACCAGGGCGAGGTCAAGATCGGCGACCTCGGGCTCGCCGCCATCCTGCACCACCGCGACGCCGCGCATAGTGTTATTGGTAGGTTGCAGGGAAGGGAGTCGACGGTGGTGGTTTAGAGGGCTGATGGGTGGGTGGGTGGGTTTGGCTAGAGGGAGGGAAAGTGGGGAAGAGGACGCGCAATGAGGGGAGGAGCGAGGTGGGAGAGCGTGGGACATTGCGTGTAGGTAAGTTGAACAGCACTTGGAGGTGAAGGGAAGCGACCCTCGGTTGGTGGTATAGTATGGTCATGGGGACGTGGAATTTGGGATTGCAAGGGCGTGGAGTCTCCAAGATGCTTTTCAATGTGAGACTGTGTTTTCACTGTTGTTCACCCTTCACACTCCCTTCCAGCCCCCTCCTCTCTCTCGTGTTTTTCAGTTCCCTTCTTCCCAGCCCCCCCTCACCCTCACCCTACGGCTCGTTCCGCACTCTCCCCCTCATTCCCGACCTTCCGCGTCTCCCACTCCCCCCCACCCCGAGTTCATGGCGCCGGAGCTGTACGAGGAGGAGTACAACGAGTTGGTGGACATATACGCGTCAAGCGTGCTGCCACTCCATTCCCAACCCTGACACCCACGCTACCGTTGACTTGGCACCGCCTTCCCCTTGCTTCCGTCCCCTGGTCTCCCACCTCCCCAACCCCCCCTCCCCTCTCCCAGGCACGCCCGAGTTCATGGCGCCGGAGCTGTACGAGGAGTACAACGAGTTGGTGGACATATACGCGTTCGGCATGTGCTGATGCCAGTCCCCCTGCGCCTCACCCTACCGTTGACTTGACTCGACACCGCTTTCCCCTGGCTCCCCCCCTCTCCCCCACACGCCAGGCACGCCGGAGTTCATGGCGCCGGAGCTGTACGAGGAGGAGTACAACGAGTTGGTGGACATATACGCGTTCGGCATGTGCGTGCTCGAGATGATCACGCTCGAGTACCCCTACAGCGAGTGCACCAACGCCGCGCAGGTCTACAAGAAGGTCTCCGAGGTGCGTATTGACGGTGATGATGGGTGACCGGGGGTGATGACGGGGTGATGTGGGGTGATGATGGGTGGTGTGGGTTGGTGTGTTGGTAGGGTGTCTGCGGGTTGCGTCCAGTGCGCCTTGCTTTCCCCTGGCGATTTTCTTGTTCTTTTCTCTGCTTTCTCCCTCATCCCACCTACCATACTCCTCTCCCTTACCGCGTCCCGTCCTTCCTCTCAGTCTCACTCAATCACTCCCGCCACTCACAGTCTCGCCCCTCCACACCCCCTCCCCCGCCGTCCGCCCTCCGCCCTGCGCGATCAGGGCAAAAAGCCGCTGGCGCTGCAGCGCATTCCGGACGAGGGCATACGCGAGTTTGTAGAGATGTGTCTGGCGGACGCCTCCCGCCGCCTGCCCGCGCGCGACCTGCTGCGCCACCCCTTCCTCGCGGAAGGCTCTGGGTCGCTGCAGCAGCCCCCTTTCGCGAGCGCCGCCGACCGCGCCTCCCGCCCCCCCCCCGCAGAGGGCGGAGGGGGAAGAAAGAGCGGGAGGAGCGGGGGGAGCAGAGGCGGAAGATGGGGGGAGAGTGGGGGGAACGCGGGGGGAGGTGGAGGGGGCAGGGGGATGGGGATGGGGTGGTTGGGGGGGGATGAGCTGGTCAGTTTCAGGGGGGGTGAGGGCGGGCGCGGGGGGAGGGGCGGGGGACGGGGAGGGGGAGGGGAAAGGGCTGGGGGCGGGGGAAAAGGGGAAGAGACATGGGTGTGGGACACGAATCTAGAGGTGCCTAAGGCGGTTGGGGCGTGGGTGAAGCAGGGCGGGGAGGAGGAAGAGGCGGAGGAGGAGGTGGTCAGCAAACGCGCAGGATGGTCGGAGATTGTGGGGTTGATGGCGGAGACGTTGCAGCAGCAGGAGTGGGGGGCGGGTTCCAGCGAGGAAGGGGAAGCGGAGAAGGGGGTTGGTGAGAGGAGAGATGGGCTTAGTGGGGGGGAGGAGGACAATGAAGGCGTTGAGAGGGAGGGGGGAGAGGAGGGGGAGGAGGGGGAAGGGGATGGGAGGGGGAGTGGTAGCGGGGAGCATGAGAGAGAAAGCGGGACAGATAGTGAGTGTGGTGGAGGGGAGGGGCGTGGAGAGGAGGAGGGGTTGGCGAGTGTGGAGTCGGATGTTGATTTGGAAAGGGGGGAGTGCAGCAAGCAGCAGGAGGGCCGCACGGTGTGCATTCGCTTGCGACGCGCAGATGGCAAAGGTAGAGAGCCACAGAGCGATGCGTTAGGGAGCGAGCTAACTGCTTTAGGTTCAGTGGTTGGGTTGGGTCCACACTCGCTGACTCCAATCACGTGAGCTTGTTGGCTGGTTGGCTGGTTGGCTGGTTGCCGGTTGGCTGGTTGGCTGGTTGGTAGGTTGGTAGGTTGGTAGGTTGGTAGGTAGGGGGATTGGTCGCCCTTCCTAATGCATGGCCCTTTGCATGAAAGAAGTAAAGACGCGCACGGAAACCAGGGCTGACATACTTCACGTGCCAGTATTGCCTTGATCTTTTTTTTCTTACTTGGTAACTTATTTCCTCACCATCCCCACCTCTTCCCCCTCCCCCGCTTCCTCCGCCTGCGCCTCCCCCTCCTCCTCCTCCCCCTCTCCCGCTCCCCTGTGCCAGGGCGCATGCACGTGATTCAGTTTCCCTTTGACACTTCGCGAGACTCAGCGTTCAGTGTGGCATGCGAGATGGTGGACGCGCTAGGCCTGCCCGACTCCGCCCTCGCATCCGTCGCCGATGAGATTGACGCCCAGCTCCTTGCCCTCGTGCCGCCCGCCCATGCTGCTGCTGCTGCTGCTGCTGCAGCTGCTACTGCGACCGCCGCTGACTTGGTTCTGGCTTCTAGTGGTGGCGGTGGTGTTGGTGTGGGGGGGGTTGCTGATGGGGATGCTGATGGTGGGATGGAGTCTGGGGTTGCAGAGGAGGGGTTGGAGGGGAGTGAGACGGAGGAGGAGGAATGGGCGGGGATAAGCGGAAGGGCAGGGCGGGAGGGGGCGCAGGGGTCTCCGCCAGTGTCTTTTGGGAGGGGAGCAGAGGGGGGTGCAGTGGGGGAGGGGGGGGGGAGCTGGGGAGCGGCGCATGGGGGTTTGAGAAGAGAGGAGCTTTATTGGATGGAGGAAGAGGATGAGGAGAGGGAGGAGAGTGCGTTGGAAAGTGAAAAGGGCGGAGAGGAGGGTGAGAAGACGGCTGGTGTGAGCAGTGGTGGGGAGGAGGTGAGGGAAGAAGCAGTGGAGGGAGGAGGTGAGGGAGGGAGAGAGGGAGGAGGAGAAGAGGGAGAAGGAGAGAGGAAGGGAGAGGCAGGGGGAGAAGAAGGGGGTGAGATAGAGGGCGAGGTAGGGGAAGAAGTTGGGGCGTCTGAAATAGGCAAGGCAGAGGATAATCGTAGCAGTGTGGAGCAGGTGGAGCAAGAGACAGAGCAGCATGCTGACGCTGCGGAGGAGGAGGAGGAAGAAGCCTGGGAGGGGGAAACGGAGGAGATGGAGGAGGAGGTGGAGGTGGGGGGGCAGGCGGAGGAGCAGGTGGGAGGAGAGGAGGCGCGGGAGGAGGTGCAGGAAGGGGTGGAGATCGGCGAGGGGTCAGGGTTGCTGGCTGTAACGCTCAGTGATCTGGTTGTCCCAACCAGCGAATCAGCCAGTGGGAGGCGACGTCCCGTACAAGTAGGGTGGGATGGAAGCCCTGAGGGCCTGGTGGCACTCGGAGGAGGGGGAGGAGGAGTGCGAGGGGGGCGAGGAGGAGGAGGAGGAGGAGGGGGAGGGGTGGGAGCAGGAGGTTTGACTTCGCCGTCCCACGGGCCGACGATCATGGCTCGTCTGGCGTCTAAGATGTTCCCTCTGAGCCTCGCTAAGCTTGCCTCGTCCAAGCGCCACCTCCCTCCCAGCAGCAGCAAGCCGATCCGAGGGAACAGCATCACCTTTGGCGTGGGCACGCACGTGGGGCAGCAGCTGGGAGCGGTGCCGAGGGGTGTGTCGCGGTTGTTAGGGATGGATGGAGCAGTGGATGTGGATGAGCTACAGGTGCATGGGCGGTTTGTGTCGTTCCGATCGCCCACGGGAGATAGCTCTAGGAGCTCCATTGCGTCGGCTTCCTCGCAGTCTGCCCCTCCGTCTGCTCCTGCTGGTGCTGCTGCTGCGGACTGGGGTGTGGAGGAGGGGGGAGGTGTTCTGGACAGTGGTGGTGGTGGTGGGGGGGGGGGGGGAGAGTGCACGTGGCAGTGATGCACTGTCTGTTATTGAGAGTGAGGAGGACGTGGTGCTGTCGGGAGGTGGGTCTATGGAGACCAGGCGTGCAGTGGAAGGAGCAGATCGGGGTGCGGCTGCTAACGTCAATCCTACTGGTGCTTCTGTTGCTGATGCTGCTGCTGCTGCTGCTGCTGCTGCTGCTGCTGCTGCTGCTGCTGCTGCTGATGGCACGGTCATGCCGGGATACAGTCACGGCAGTGAGCTGGCACGACTGCCGTCCCTGCCGTCAGTAAATAAGGCCCCGTACCAGTCGCCTATGATGCGCAGCCTTAGTGTGGGCATGGGCAGTCTCGTGCATGCTGCAGCAGCGGCAGAGCATGCGGTAAGGAAGGGAGAAGATGGGCTAGGCGAGTGGGGTGAGGGAGTTGGGCCGGACGGGAGAGAGTTTGGGTGGGGTGGGGGGAGGTCCAGGTTCGGCGAATCTCCACGTGGTAGTCTGGGGAGTGGGAGAGGGGAGGAGGGAGAGGGTGGTGAGGCAGGGAGGAAGGCGATGATGGGTGGGGTGGGGTGGGAGGGAGTGGAGAAGGCGGAGAAGGGTTGTGAGAGGGGTGCTGGGAGCAGGGGGGAGAGGGGGAGGAGATGGGTGGTTCTGACAGAGCAAGAGGCGGGTCTGGTTGCAGAAATGGAGGGGGAGATTGCTGCAGTTAGGGAGAGGTATGAGCCGCGGATAGCACAGGTGCGTGCAGAGATCCATGGTCTGTTTGTGCAAGGGAGCGAGGATGGGGACTGGGGAGGAGGGGAAGAGGCGGGGAAGGGATCGATTAAGGAGAGGGGGGGTGAAGTAAGGGGAGATGGGGTTGGGTTTGTGGGTGGAGACAGGGGGAAGGTGGAGGATGGTGATGGTGTTGTCAAGCGGTTGGTGAGGGTTGCGGATGTGCAAGGCAGAGAAGGTGGTGATGTAGGTGTGGAGGATGGAGACGGTGCGACAGGCAAGGATGGGGCATGCCACAGTGGTAGTAGTACTGTGGTGCCCCACTCACCTGGAACTGGCTTGCAAAACCTCCCCACAGCTTCCCTTGCTGACGCCCCTGTGAAGGCTTCTACTGCCGCGGCCTCCCTCGCGCCTGGTACAACTCTCCCTGCTGACGCTCCTGCAGTGGCTCCGCCTGCACCTGTGCTTGCTACACCTGCTGCTGCTGCTGCTGCTGCTGCCACAGCTGCAGCCGTTCCATCATCTGCCACGTCATGTGTGCCTCCCTTGCCTGCATCATTACGCTCGCCTTCTCATCCTGTCTGCCCTCCTGTCACCATTGGGACTAGTGCTGTAGCTGCTCCTCCCCTTTCCCGGCCCGGCGAGAGGTTCGGAGTTCTGGAGGAAGAGGATCTTGGTAGTCGTGATTCCAACAGCGGCAGCAGCAGCAGCGGCTGTAACAGCAGAAGCAGGTTTGGAGCGGGAGATAGTGCTGGAAGGGGCTTGGATGGAGCAAGAGTAGCACCAGGTTCAAGAGCAGCCGCAGTAGCCGTAGCAGCTGCAGGCAGGGACGCAGCAGCATCAGCATCAGGATCAAGATCACCATCAGTGTCAGCGTCAGGGCCTCTGACTCGGACCGGCTCTCCTCCTGGCAACTCCAGAAGCAACAGCATTCCCGGCACGGACCGCAGTGCGTATGGAGGGCTGAATGGTGAAATTAGTAACGAGGCTCACAGCAGCAGCAGCAGCAACAGCAGGGCAGGCCGGGAGATGGTGGAGCGGTCTATTGCCCTTATGGAGGCCAGCATTCTGGAAAGGCTGCCCTGCAGCGGTAAGCTCGCTGTGGGTCCTGCTGCTCTCTCTTCTCCTAATAGCTGTCAGCGGCCTGCTGCTGTGAAGGTTGGCGGCGCTGGTGGTGCTGGAGTTGTTGCTAAGGAGGGAGGCGTGGGTGCAGGTGTGGGTGTGGTAGGGTTGGGCAAAGGTGGTCCTGGTCTGGCCACCATACGACAATCAGCAAGAGCACAGTCGCCCAGCTATGCCTGCTCGTGAGTGACTGCGTGCGTGCGTACCCCATTTCTTCTGCATGTCCGTGTTGTCTTCTACGTGATAGCTTTGCATGTACAGTGCTAGTTTTCTGCCGTGTTGACTACCGTAGGTTGGAGTAGTTCCAGCATTCTAGAAATGGTTATTCTTTCATGTTAAAGTATGTGAAGCGATGTAGAGTTGCATACCGTAGTTGAGATAGTAAACGTGGACGTCAGCTCCTACAGAATGTACCGCATGGTAGGTTGTAGGTGGGTGGGAGGTTGGAAAAACTTCAAATCTAATCTTGGAATTGCAATCGACTGTAATGGTAGCCGGATGGCCCGGGATATAGGAGTCGTCCGACAGCTACACTCTTGTAAGGAATTTTCTCAGGCATTCCTTACGGAGCCGACTACATCGCGTACAGCAACAGCCGACTGTTCGCCCGTTACTGCTAACGGAACTTCGCCGACTTCGCGCGCACTGTTTTGCCAAACCTCGCACTGCTGGCATGGCCGTATCGGCCTACGCTTCGGGACTAGCCCGAGCCTCGCTCCAGCGTAGCACTAGCAAGTTCGCACGCACCGCGTTACCGTTTTGCATGTTTCGCGTATAAATGCTCGCTCATGCCTTCGCTCACATTTTGTACTCGTTTGACACCTTAGTGCAATTCTCGCTACCTCGATTCATTGCACCCGTAACACTTGGTATCAGAGCCCCTTTCTTTCGGACCGCGCATCTCCGCACACCAGGAAATCAACTTTTGATTTTTCACTCGAAGGGACTCACGCACCTTAGCCCCTAGGAGCCGCTGTCCTCGCGTTCTCTCGTAAACGCGTGCAGCCACGACTGCGCCTAGACTAAGACGAGCCGACGCCCTTCGTCATGGCCGAAAACATCGACGTCACCACTCTCACGCAGGAGCGTTTGAACGATCTGCTGCGACAACTGCACGAAAGCTCCGAGGAAATCGCGGCATTGACGGCAGAACGCTCATCACTGCAAAATGACCTCATGAGAGCACAATCCCAAGCACCTGGCACTCCGATTCAACCTGCACCCTCAACATCACAACACGGGAGTGTGGGGCAACCCGCGAGCGCGGCCAGTGATGGCGTCGTCCGCCCCGACGGAGACGACGACCACGGCACGACACACCCCAGAGCGACGCCTGCGGCCCCAAGTCAGCCTCGCGTCACGATTTCGGCACCAACCCACGATTCGGGACTGCCGTCACCGATGCCGCTGAAACCGCAGCGCCCGCCATGCTTTGACCCGAGTCAACGGGGTGGTCCTACCGTTCAGGCGTGGTTATTCACAATGAATGTTTTCTTCGACGCCAACTACGTCTCGGAGGACTCGGCGAAGATTCGATACGCCGTGTCGTTGCTGCGAGGACCCGCCATGGACTGGTGGCGCGTCATCGTCACGAAGCCGACCGACTACGCGACACTACCGACACGGGAAGGACAAACCGGACCCTGGGCGCCGTCGTATTTCGTGGAGGTGCCCCAGTATCGCACGTGGGACGCGTGGTGCGCAGGTCTGCGCGCTCGATTTGAGCCAATCGCGGCCTCGATCTCGGCGCGACAGAAGCTCCGCACTTGGCGCCAACTCGGTTCCGTCCAGGATTACACGAGCGGATTTCTGGCGCTATGCGAGCAGGTGGGCTACATGCATGAGAGCGAACGCATCGACCGCTACATCGGCGGCCTGAAGCAGGACATCGCTCAGGAAATCCAGCTTCGCGGCGTCACTGAGTTTCAGGAAATTCTCGCTATGGCGGAGAAGCTCGACTTCTTTCGCCGACCGAGACCGGGGTCCTACGGAAACAACACCTGGGGACATCGGCCTCGTGGGACGAACGAGAGCGCCACGATACGCGCCGTCGCCGCAAATGCCGCTGCCGCACCGTTCAAAGGGCGCTGCTTTGCGTGCAATCGGCCGGGACATCGCAAGAGCGAATGCCCGGAAAACGCTAAGGGAAAGGGGGAAGCTGAGCAGCAGACACAGACCAAGCAGCAGGGAAACGCTGGAAGTCAGTAGCAGACGGGCCCTCTACTGACAGGTCACGCCGCTCGCCCGACCCAACCGACCCTCACCGAGTGATTGTGCCGGTTCACGCAATCGACCACACCCGGCCGAATAAGGAGGGTACCACGGTAGATAGCCCTATACTGCTCAGTGGGAAAATTGGGACGGACTTAGTTAAAATCTTCGTAGATGGGGGAGCCAGCCACAGCCTCATTAACACTGCTACAGCACGAAAATTGCGACTGCCACTGGACCGATGCTTACCTGAGATCGACGCACGACTGGTAGACGGCACGCCGCTGGCAATACGGGAACGCGTAGACCGAGTTCGGATTCGATGCGGGGGTAACTTCACGTTTAGTCAGGAAATGCTCGCAACGACCCTCGACGGAACCGACATTTTACTCGGGCGTGATTGGCTGCGACGACACAACCCGCGAATTGACTGGACGACGGGTGACTGCACCGTGCGAGTGAACGGTAACAACATCGCCTTACCTCGCTGGGGCTCGCCTGAGTCTTCGTCGGTGCGTGTCAACGCGATCACGATGAAACGCGCTGTTGCGGCCGGAGCCGACGTGTACGCGGTTGACATTCGGGAAGCCGAGGCAGCAGACAAGGGAGGCGATTTACAGAAACTGCTGACCGACGTACCGAGTGACCTGGCGGCACTGTTACAACAGTACAGTGACATTTTCCCGGATGACCTGCCGACGGGACTGCCACCTCAGCGACCGCACGATCACAGGATAGAACTGGAACCGGGGGCACAGCCAACAGTACAGCGACAGTTCCGACTGACCCAACCCGAATTAGACGAACTAAGGAAGCAGCTCGATTACCTGCTAGAAAAGGAATTCATTCGCCCTAGTTCGTCGCCTTTCGCCGCACCAATACTGTTCACACCGAAAAAGGACGGGGGTTTTCGCATGTGCATCGACTACAGGGCACTGAACAGGGTTACCATCAAATCCCGTTACCCCATCCCACGAGCCGACGAACTGATCGACCAACTGCGCACAGCCCGGGTTTTCTCGAAAATCGACCTCCGGGGAGGATACCACCAAATCCGCGTCAACCCACCCGACTGCCCTAAAACCGCATTCCGAACACGCTACGGATCCTTCGAATACACCGTCATGCCATTCGGACTGACCAACGCCCCCGCCACTTTCCAAATGACCATGAACGAAGCATTCCGCCCGCTTTTAGATAAGTGCGTCATCGTTTATCTGGACGACATACTGATTTACAGCCCTGACAGAGCACAGCACTTACAAGACATCGAAGCAGTTTTTAAAATCCTGAGTGAGAACCGCCTACTGACCAAAGCATCTAAGTGTGAGTTTTTACAGGACCGCCTGGAGTTTTTGGGACATGTTATTTCAGCTGCAGGAGTGGAAATAGACCCGAAGAAAATTGCGACGATTCAGGCTTGGCACGCGCCGACCAACTTGACCGAGTTGCAGAGTTTCCTGGGGTTCGTCAACTACGTGCGCCGGTTCGTCCCCGACATGGCGAAACTGACTGCCCCGTTGACTGACCTGCTGAGGAAGGGGGTTGAGTACACGTGGGGGGAGAAAGAGCAAGCTGCCTTCTCGGCCCTCAAAAATATTTTGTGCTCCCCGCCCGTCCTTCACATTGCAGATCCCCACCGTCCGTTCGAGCTCGTCACCGACGCAAGTGACATCGCTGTGGGAGCAGTACTGTTGCAGGATTTCGGGAATGGCCTCCAGCCAATCGCGTACGAGTCCCGCAAGTTACACCCGCCCGAACGTAACTACCCGATACACGACCGCGAGATGCTAGCGATCGTGCACGCGTTCAAAGTTTGGCGATGTTACCTGACTGGTGCCGACGTGACAGTACGGACAGACCACCGCTCGCTACAGTACCTTCGCGCCCAACCGAATCTCAACCCACGACAGATTCGCTGGTTGGACTATCTCGAGTCCAATTTTCACTACACCGTCACGTACAAAAAAGGAGCATCCAACATCGCCGACGCTCTCACCCGCCCCACCGCCCAACTCCACGCCATCCTACTCGCCCAGACCAACCCGCTTTTAACTGGCCTATTCACCCACGGATACCGCACCGACCCATTTTTCACGACCGGAAATTCACAGCAACTGGCAGAAGCAAAAGGAGTTTATTACGTAAAAACAGGCACCAACCGCATTTGGGTACCCGCGTACTCACTACTGAGGGAGCTGCTGCTGCAGGAGGCACACGACGGGATTACCTCGGGACATTTCGGGGTAGAAAAAACACGACAGCAACTGCAGCGGTACTATTACTGGCCGGAGCTGTTGACCGACGTACAGCAGCACGTGGGCTCGTGCCCGACGTGTCAGGTGATGAAGAGTTCAAGGAAGCGGAAGGCGGGTCAATTGCAGCCGATCCCACCGCCCGAACGCGCCTGGCAGCAAGTAACCATGGACTTCGTCACAGGGTTACCTTCGAACCCTGGGGGTAACGACGCGGTGATGGTCGTCGTGGATAGGTTGACGAAGATGGCACACTTCGCTGCGTGCAAAAAGTCGATCTCAGCCGAAGAGACCGCTCGCCTGTTCATCGCAGCCGTTGTTCGCCTGCACGGGATACCAGCAGCAATTATCAGCGACAGGGACACGAAGTTTACCAGCAACTTCTGGAAGAACCTCTGGGAGCAGTTCGGGACCAGGCTACAGTTCAGTTCGTCGTACCACCCCGAGACCGACGGCCAAACGGAGCGGACGAATCAGACGATGGAGCAGTTGATTCGTGCCACGTGCGACGACCCCACGACCTGGGAGCAGCAGCTGCCGCTGATCGAGTTCGCGTACAACAACGCCACATCAACCACGACGCAGCAGTCCCCGTTCTACCTGAACTATGGGCAGAACCCCACAGTGCCCATGACGCCGAGTCCGGACAACCCCACGCCACGCGCACAACAATTCGCCGAAATCCTGCAAGCTGCCCGCGCCAGAGCCGCCGAAGCAATA